GGGGTTCATTTCCCAAAAGCTGTGTTTCCATTAAAAAAAGACTCATTACTGAAGGTTATTCATTTACAGAATGAAGAGACTTCCTTATTTTATGCTTAATTGTATAGGTGAAATGACGTAGGATGAACCGCAACGATTCGGGATTGTTTAATTTGAAGCGAGTTCTTTTTAGAATAATGCATCAATATTAAACCAATGGAGCAGTCTGCAGCTTCCTGACCCAGCTGCTGCATCAACAGTTCACACTGATAAAACTCACATTAACCAGCAGGGCAAACATGGCAACATCAGAACAACAAGGTGGATTTAACTTACCTCTGAATGCATGAATGGCTTACAGACAAAGATGTGTGCATTTTCTTTTTGTCAACAAGATTCTAAAATGGAAAACTTGGTTCAGAGACAAGTGTAAGGAAAACTAATGATATTTTTGGTTGTCTGGCAGCACAGGACATCAGAAAAATTTTAAACCATCATAAGTTGATTGATAATACAGAAGTCTATATTTTTCTAATTTACAGTGAAGATATAAAGAAATACATATTTTATGTTCCCCATTTAATTTTAGCTAATATTATTTTTTTTTAACAAAGTGCCATTTGCTTTCCATGGCTCTTATTGGAAGTAACTCTAAGAACGGTGATAAGAAAAACCATGGATGTTTGCCGTAAAATCCAAACCGGTTTCTAATGTGCTAAATAATGCATATCAGGATATACTTGATGTTTATCTATTAAACAGTTTTAAGCATTTCATGAACTGCAGTTGTCCCTAAACTGTATACAATTATGCAATGATTCTGGAAAAATCTTTAGACTTCTAGAAAGTAACCAATTTAAAACTTAATCCAGTTATACTGCTATATAAACTCTAACATTATTTATGTTTGAGAGCTACATGATTGATCTTTGCTCAATTAAAGCCAACAGTCTTGAATTTGGTGACCAATCAGAAGAGAACAGGTGAGACGCCGAAGTCTCAGTGCAGATATTTGGTTTGGAAATAAAATAATCAAATCCTTTGTGTCAGTCCTACTAGTAAATATTAAGTTGTCGTTCTTGTCCAGGTCAAGTCAGAACAAAGTGATGGTTGAAAACCCATCAAGAGATTAATAAGCTATCAATACTCATCAATTACTTTTATGTTCACACAGCAGGTCTTGATGCTCGGCACATGTCAACCATAAGAGTGGCAACAAACGTTAGTCCCAGAAGCTTGGCCATTGAAATCTGTGTCTATTGTTCTGTTTCTACTTTATTATCAGCAAAACAAAATCTCTTGGTTGTTAACTTTACTCAAAATATTCAAAGCTAATCAGAGAAATCATGACTTGACAGGACAGATTTCATTTGAAGTCCTTTATGTTAATTTTTATTTAAATGGTGGCAACCAAGTTACTTTGTCCTGAATACAGAAGCACCAAGGATAAATATCTTTTCTTTGTGAGTAATGTGGGATGAGCTGTTATTCCTCTCAGAGCAAATTCTGTCTCTTTTGGAGTTTCTTAGAAATGTGGGGGTTCTTTCACCAGATCTTCATCAAAAGTGAAAGTATTTCACCTGCAGCTTGACCATCTCTGTTTCTTCAAAAGAGAAAATATGATTCTGAACAGGGGATTGCATTCATTTCAGTCGGTGCTCCGCGGATCCACAGGCCGACCCGGAGGTGTCCAGTAAAACAAGCGGAGCAACATTTGTTTCACTTGTCAAGGAATTGGCAGAAACTCCTGTATTATGCTGGGGCTGGCCTCAGCCAGTCGGCTGGCAGCTGGATAACTCAAATAACCTGGAGTCATCCCCTGCTAGAGTCTGCAGTCAGACAGGCAGTCAGTCACCTCAAGATGACAGCGGTAGCTCCAGAGGAGGCTGCAGGCGAAACCCAAACAAACTTTCATCTGAGTATCACAACCCAGACAAGGGAGGCGAGATGGAGAGCTACACACAGACACACACGCACACGCACACACACACACACACACACTGCAGGCATGCATCAGCCTGACACATTTAAATTCCCCCCCTCATATGATGGCTCCTCAGGCTACCCTTGTAGATGTGAATGGAAGTTTCTTCACCTGCATGTAGATTTATTTAACAGCATAATAAATTAATTTTGCTTTATTTAACTTGACAATGGATTCCTAGAAGTGTTTTTGCTATGCAATTAGTTTGATGGTGTAACAGCTGCTTTTAATAAATGAGCTGAACTTATTTACAAATTGACTTCTTGTTAAAATAATGATGAAATAAAAATAAAAGAAAAGTAAACACTGCAGCATGATTATCTTCTGTTGCAGTGGTAAGAATTTGCTTGAAGACATGATATTTCTTTCATGATATCATGTGTTTTTTTCCCCCACATACAGTCATATTCTGTAAATTTAAATATTTGTTCTGATGAGGCTCATTTGTCTGACTAAAAATTGACATCCTTTAAGCAGGTATTAAACATACTTTTCTTTAAGCTCGCTTTTCTGATGTAATCCAGTTTCATTTTCACCATAATTACTGGGATAAAAACCTTATGAGTTATTGAATGGATCTGTATACATAGCCAGATTTTCCTTTTGTGAATTACACTAAACTTATTAAATTTATTGATTTTTTTCTTTTTGCACAACTTAGAGTTTTGAAGATATATTTTACTGTAGTTTTAATCCTATTTGAGTAAAAGCAGTTATATCCTCCTGTGTTGCTTAAAACAATAAACTATTGATGAATACAGCAAAACCAAGTTATCCATAAGACTTTTGGGGTGAAGCTGATAATAGTAATAGTTTTGGTTGAAATGATCCTCCCTGTTGAAACTTGCTTTGCATTACAAGTTGTTATCACCTGCATATGTTTGCCAAACGTAGTTAAAGTTAAATCTGAGCGTCAAAATCCTAAATTAAAATCTGTTGAATGCTGTCACTCCAGATGCATCAGTTTCTCTCTATAAAGGAGCAGCTTTAGCTGCTGTCAAAGAGCCTTAGGGGAGCCGTTTTAGGAGAAAGTTTGGCCAGGCAATGATTTTTCCACTTAGTTAGGACTCACACCAGATTTAAAGAGTTTCCAGACCTTTGAAGATGCTTTGAGAAGCAGAGATTCTCTGCAGGGATTTTCAGATGAGCTCAGGGCAGAAGAGTGCAGACGTGCACGCAGGTAGAGCGTGAAAGTGTGTATGCGTGCGTGTATGTGAGTGTGTCATTATGTGCTTGTGCATGCCTTAAGACAGCTATAATAGCTCTTCATTAGAAGTGGTTAATAAGCAGGAAATGGCCACTTGGTGAAGAAGATAAGAGTGAATTACATCGACCTTTTAGGGTCAGACTCTTTAAGAGGCAGGGCATGCAGGCGATCCAGAGGAAGCTGAACTCAAATGTTTCCTTATGCATCAGCATGGGTGGAAATTATCACAAATATTTTACATATAATAAACAAATTATTGGACAAACAAAAAGTAAAATACATTAGCCTGCAACAAAAATACAGTTTGTACTAAAAACGTTTCAGGTTTTTAACGTAGTCCTGAATTTAGATCAAAGAATTTTAGAAAACTGATGTTGAAGTATTTCTCAAATATTATGGGAAATGGAAACTTCGTGTCGTTATTTCCTTATATTTTCATCAAAGCTGACAAATATTGTTTAAAGTGGTCTAAAATCCCTTTCAAGCAACATAAATGAAAGTGCTCCTGAAAATACTGGGCACTAAATATTCCTGATATCTATGCCTATGCATGCCCTTGATTCTTGGAGGAAATAAATGAGCACGCAGTGATTTAAGTGCATAGCCAAAATAATACGTGCTGAATTGGTGAGAGGGAAATTGACCATAGTTTTTCTCTGTGCCCTGACCCACTTGGTTCAGTGTTTTCTGTGAGAATTCAAGGTTAGTTTCAAGGAAAGAGCATTGTGTTTGGTTCCCAGGGGGGATTGGTCCATCCAAAGTCTCTAGAGTATTTTTACTGAAGCAAATACCTTTACAGGCCAATGGGGTTTTCTTTACCAGTGCACAGTAAAGAAAGCTGCAGTATGTAACTTTTATAAATAAATACATTTTTAAATATTTGTTGAAACAGTCACTATGCAAGACAGTATGGGAGGAGAAAGTAGTGAAAAATATGAAGACCCTCTGCCTTCTCCCAGTACTAACTAGAAACAACCAGTCAGAGCAGGAGGTGGGTTTTAATGCTGTCAATAACCCTCCATGTGGCGCTGCTCATTCCCTCTGTCTCTCTCCTGTTGCTCTGTGGTGTGATGCAGTGAAGGCTCACTACACCAACGATGGTGGAAAAACGGTTGTTTCTCCACCAGTAGCACATACTTGAGTGATTGACAGCGCTAAAACCCTCCTCCTGGCTCTGATTGGTTGTCTTTGAGTCTGGAGCAGACAGTAGCTCAGGAGGAGGTGGAGGTGTCTCATATGTGTTAACACCGTCACTGCATGGTGACAATTTAGACAAATAATTTTTTTAATATATATGTAAAATGTGCTTTACATGCTGCAACTTAAGCTAAAGGCAGGTTCTGTAAAAATAAAAATACATGCAAATGCAGAAATCTTCAGTGAAATGTCAGCAAGTGGATGTGATTTTTTGATCTGACGATACTTGAGTTTTTTCTCCCCCTAAAGTGGGAAAGTATATTTTCTCACACAGATTCCCTCCAAAAAATGGAAATATGCATTTGATCTTACTTTTGCACAAACTTGCAAAATTGTAAACTGTGCAACTAAATACCCTGACATACTGAGAATAAACTTCTCGATTTCTACAACAAATACATAGATTTTGAGACATTAAACTAAATATGAGATGTAAAACTAAATGATAGTTTTACTGATGTTCAAAGGTGATTTTGCAATAAAGATGTTTGTCCTAAAATCTGAGAATCTTTTAACCATGCTCTCAATTATTATTATTTTAAAAGTTAAGTGTGGTGAAAGCTAAACAGGACAAACATTTCAATGAAAAGAACGAAGTACGATGGGCTGAGAAAGCAGTAGTTCTCTACTTACAGGTAATAAGAGTAGGAATAAGCATGTCTTCTGAAGCATGGTGAGGTGAGGCCGATGATGACAGAGCAAAAACCCAGAAGAAGACAAACACATTGGATTAGTTCATGATTTGAGTGAAAAATAAATCTGTCAACCTACACAAGCTAGAAATTTAGTTTCTTTGTGTCCTCATATTTACTTACTTTATTTAAATAAATATTTTTTGCAGGCCCTGTTCAATTATCTGGAATATTTTGTATTTATGGTAATTTTGAGTCGTACAACAAGGTTAATATCTGAAATGATTTGCATTGTGTTAGGTTTTTTTGTATTGCTGAAATGCAAAACAAAAACTAAATTTTCATTTTGTTTATCTTTGAAAAGTCTTTTCTGTTGTTAAACTTAAGAAAAGCTGTGATGAGCTTAGAGACAGGAGAGTTGTTGGCCAACAATCTTGGAAGGGTTTGACGGCCATTTTGAAACTTTTTAAAGTGCTGCTGCCCAATGATGTGATGAAACCACTACATCATTGTTGTAGTTGGATTTTTACACACTTTATCTTAATCTTTAAGACATAATGAATGCCTCTAAACACTCAAGGTTATATATTAAAGAATTTAAATTGCATATCTTAAGTGCTTAAGAAGAAAGCAACTCAAATATTTGGTTCTTCAAGATATTTTATGTCTCATCCTAAAAACTTCTTCAGAACTGAAGGTTTTATATGAGGAGTGAAACGTCTTCAAAAAGCAAAAGAAAACAACTAATTACCTTAAGCTTAAACTCTTGTTTGACCGATAATCTACACTGGCATTTAAAAAGGTATCTCATTTTAAGAACTGCATATCTAGTAGTGTGTATGCTTTAGTTATGCAAGTAAAAGGCCTTTGCAGGCACAGCTGTGGCCTCCATCACCAACTGGCTGATTTGTTCAGACAGGGATGAGAGAAAGGCTGGGTGGAGATAGACAGGAGAGAAATGGATGCAGAGAACAAATGGAAATGAGGAGGATTTATCAGTGACAGGTTTAAGTCGTTGCTGTACTGATGCTGTAGGTTTGGTTTAAGAACTGCTCCGCACAAAATTAGTCTCAAGCAAAAATGTGCCGGTATTTTGGCTTCTTTTTAATGGCTTCCCCACCCCAACGTGCACCGTCCGTCCAATGAGATGCCAACGCCTGGAACAAACACACACACACAAACTCACACTTCACAGATTCTGGATGGTGGAGGGACTAAAAGGATCAGTATCTGCGTTCTTGCTTAATGCGACGGTAACCGTCTACGACTACAGGTTGTTCTTTCTCTCTTTGGAAAGGAAAAAAAAAATAGTTGAAACTTAAGAAAATGGCCAAAGAAGAAAGTAAAAGAAAAGGCTGACGCATTTAAATTCCTACAGCCTTTACACACACTAACACACACAATGTAACAGACGTGCACTTAAACACATTTGCAACCCACCCACTGTTCACACTGCACTCTTTTCAAATGGCAGATGCACACACAGTCATAACCATAACCCTTTTAGGGCCTCTGCTGACATTGTCCTTATGATATTAATAAAATGCAGCGCGCTTGGAGCCGGGCTGTAAAAGCCACAGCAGTTAAAACTGCCCATAAATATTAATAAAGTGTAAAAAAAATAAAATAAAATATCAGCTCGGCAGAGAGACAGTAGCAACGTGTTTGTTTCTGTGTGATATTTTACTAAGTATATAAAATCAGATGGTGTACATCTTCGTTTCAAGATGTGTGAGTTAGGTTGCTCCTATGGGCGAAACTGTGCTCAAGTTTGTATCACAAATTTTCAGTGGCAAAAAAAAACTTTGTACCACAAATCTTCCTTCAATTTTGTATTACTTTTCAGCCATTATGCAGGAGACTTGGTGCTCTGCTGTGGATCATTGTCCAGCTTAAGGCAAAGGTCACACACTGATGACCGGACGTCGACTGAGTCCAAAAGAGCAGGAACCGAGGATTCATCAACCTGTCCAGGCATCATCTGGCATCATTTTGAAATGCTCTCTTAGTTGCATAGCAGACGGAACGGGACACACACCTTCCCTAAAGATCCGCTCTTGTCTCATGAGTCCACAGAAAAATACTTCAGCCGTTGTCCTCATTTTCTAAGATTTGTCTTTGTGTTCTTGATGGTCGAGATTTTAGTCATTAATCTCCCATAAAAGCTGTTTTTTCCAATCCTTTTTGCATTAAAGAATCATATGTGCTGACCTTAAATGAAGCAAGCGAGGGCTCCAGTGTATCTGATGCTAGTCTTGGTTCTTTTGAGAGACAGGTCAAAGAGCCAGAATGTCTCCTTTCTCAAGTTGCCTTGGCTATTTTTTTCCTTTAATGAATCAGATTTTTCTAACGATGCAATTATTCTCTTTAGTGCTCCATCATACACTTTGCACATGAATAAAGTTTTTTTTTTCTTACTGCAACTTTAGCATCAATTTGCAGAATAAAGAGAGGTACATAAACTATTGTAGGCCATTGCAGAGAAATAAAGGTAATTATTGCCCAAAAAGTTCAAATATTTTGAGAATAACTTCACACATTTACTATGAAAAAAATTCTGATACTCCCTGTTGTAGAAAAGTCAAATTTCACAATCAAAGGGAATAAATTGTGATATTATAACTCATATTTTCTCTAATATTCCAATGTGTATTTTCTAATTTTTTCACTTCAGTCCGAGAAGACTTCCATAATTTTTGTTAAAAATGTCTGATTAATAATTGTTGACGGACTTCTTGTTCTTTTTACAAATTTCTGACTTTATATCATCAGAGAACATTAGGTTTATTAATAAATTAAAAAAATTGGGAGAATTTTTTGTGAAATATGTTGAATGTTGAGATCAAAGAATATAAATCTCAAAAATGTATGTCTTCATTGTCAGTTATTTTAATCCTCCTATCTGAAATGGACCCAGTAGTTTGTTGTATCCGTCTGTGCATAAGTACACAAAAAAATACGATAAAATCAGCCAAACCACATGAATGATCTTAGCAGGGTCATGGTGAGTTTGTCATGTGTCCATTAGGAATGCAGTGGATTCCTCATTAGACTGAGCAGAGCGTGACGGTTTCCTGACGGCCTCCAGGATGAACAAAACCTCCAGAACCTCTGAACCATCTCAGGGCTCCTGGGTGGAACATGAAGGCATCTATAAGCTGCCGTCGTTACAAATGTGAAGCACAGCTGACCATCCCAACCTCATGTCAGGACTGCAATCCAGTACCAGCAGTAGTGTGACCTTTGAACTAATTCCTGCATCCTGGTAGAGTTCAAGCACATCGGGATGTGCTGAGAATCTGGGCTGTGTTGGGATCGTTATGGGATGCAGCACCTTTTGAGATTCGCATGAAATGCCAAGAAAATCTATGTGCATGAATATCAGCATTGTAATTTTCTTCTAATTTAGCTAAATATATCGTAAATATTTACTGTAAAATGGGAAATAATCTGGAGAGATGCAGCAGAACACAGAGGGCCACCATTGTTGCTGTTGCTGAAAACTGGGAAATGTGTGGTTTGCATTTACATGGACGTGATTTACATTGTGTCTAATATCTCTGAAGTCCGTTATTTAACCTTTGCATTTTTGTCCGACCAAAATGCTGTTGCCATGTAAACAAAAAGCCAAAAGGCAACAAAATGTTTATGCTTTCCTGTTCCAGCGTTCTGTGAAGAGGCCCTGAATTATTTTCTTTTCTAACTGCAGTGTCAGGATGTTGGACACAAACTTTCACTAACAGCCATCCATAAATCGGTGGGTCTATTCAAAGCCCACAGACTGAAGCAGAAACAGAAACAGCAGAGCTGTGAGACATATGGAAATCACTCCATCTACATACAGCATTCTATGTTTTTCTTGCTATGATGATTTCATTTAAACACACTTCGTCCCTATTGCTGACTCCAGTTCTTTTCTTATATATGGATGACTTCTGTTGCAAACAAATTTCCACACTGATAGGATGGCTGCAGTTTATCATGGGCTTATATGAATACTATATGAATACTATCAGCTGAAAAACATGTAAACACAAACATCATGTGCAGATTGCAGATGTTTCACCTGTTATATTCAGGCTACATGAATATGTCAAGAATGTCTTGGAAAAATATGAAGGAAACTTCAATGACTAAACTGAATGTGAAATATTTTACCTACTAGATAAGAATATGCTTTCAATACAAATAGTTCTGCTCCAATATTGGCAGATTTAACATCACGTTATGTGAAGAGTCAACACTTCCAACGTTGATTCTTCTTCTATTCGATCAGCTTTTTAAGAACTGACCACAGGTTCTCCATCGGGTTCAAATCTGGGGAGATTCCTGATTCCTCCGCTTGTCTGATATATGAGTCAGTTTTGTTATCGCATTAGCCTTGTGACATGGTGCTATATTATGCTGGAAAACCCAAAGATCAGCAAATTGTTCCTGGGTTGTGGGAATGTGTTGGTCTTTTGATCCCTATCTGGATTCTTGGCTCTGGTCTTGGATTAAACCCCAATCCTGCTGATAAGAAATAAATCCACACATGGATTATTTGGATGCTTGCTGTTGGCACCAACTGGATCTCATGATATTTCTCACCATTTCTTCACTGGAAAAATTGCTTTCTAGATGTTTCTATAGGGAGCATCAATTTGTAGTATTCTGTAGATTTCCTAAAATGTATTTTAGACAGAAAACATTTTTCTGCTGTGTAATGTGATGCCTTCAAACCTTTCTGCTTCCAATATTCGGGAAGTTCTGCAATTCTATATCGTTTCATTCTAATGTTAGATATTTTAGCGCTTGATGACTTCCATGTTCTAAAGGCACATTTACTGCAAATGAATCTGTCCTGAAGTTATGGACAATCCAGAAAAAGTAGGTGATAAAACATTACACCGCAAAGCGTTGATGGAAACACAAGTAACTTCTGCTAACACCAGAAAATAATTTCTCCCAAACGCATCAGATCTCTGTACATCGAAGCTCAAGTTAAATAAGAACATTTTAGGCAAAAACTGGATTTTGTTTGTTACAAAAATAATGTTTGAAGTTATTAAGTTAAGCTTTTTGTCATGAATTGGGAAGGTTGTAAGTTTGGAAACACAAAAGACTTTTGACTATGATTTAGTAGCTTCCAACAAGCATTTTTGGATCAGACACCATTTAAATGGCCTAGTTAAAGTAAAGTGTAGTTGTACAAATCAGACAACATTGACAGGCAACCACTACAAACTGAAAACTCAAGACTCAGACCTTTATAAAGGACTGTGCATATTTCAGCTTTAGCGATAACGTAAAACCAAAAGAAAATTGTATTTCTTAAACCAACAGATATTAAAAATTAAATGTTTATAATTTCAAAGAAAATCTCAAAAGGCAACTTAAATTTCATTGCATCACTTTGTTAGCTGAATGACATGTTAAGTAAAATCTGTAATTAATTTTAATGCCAACAATTATGGTTCCTTTTCCAAACATCCAATGATCAAAATGTTTGTCAGTGGAGGAACTTGGGTTCAATGTCCACACACTTCTGGAAATTGAAAAATGGGTAAAAAAAAAAAAGGTTCTGGGCGCTCAAAGCATTTTGAATAACTTTGAGAAAAAGTATTTCTTAACTAGAAATAAAGGACTAAATGAGAAAGGTGTACAAAAATGTGAATATTTGTGGCAAGCCCTCAGCTATTTTAAAAGTGCTTTAAGTGCACGATGAAGCATTTATCTCAGCAAGCTGCAGAGTGCATTATTCAGCCATGTGTCACATCCAGAATGGGGGTCAAGCCCAGCTCAGCAGTGCTAGCAGCTCAGCAGTGCTAATGTGCCCAATTTATCTAGGAAAAAAAATACAAATTCAGCATAAAATCCCTAAGACTTAAACTAAGACTGAGTATTTTTGTTATCTTAACTCAGAGACCAAATTCATTGAACAGCGAAGTTAGAAAAAAAAAAGTTTAATGATGTACTTATTGTAGCTGCCACATTGATGATTATTTCAATCTTAAACCTGTCTCTCTGATCTCTTGGGTGAAAGAATCTGGATATGATTGTATTTTTCTTAACGCTAGATGTTGACTTAATTGCTGAGCCCTAAATTTGAATCTAAGCATCATTGAAAAAGATGTTTCTAAAGTTTGGAGCTTCCCATTTGTTCTTCTATTGCTAATAGGAGGCAAACCCTCACTCATGAATAATTAAAGGCCTATGATTACGTATTCTGGTGAAACTATTTCAAAAACTGGACAAGGATCAACATAAGAGACTTTTCAGAATAAAACAACATGCTAAGCTCTTCATTCAGGCTTTAAAAAGCAAAACATCACTGTTACTGCTGCTCTGAAACTTTTTAATGGTGTTTAAGGCCTTGGATTTACAATATTTTTAATTATTCTATTTATTTTTAGAAATACTTCTCAAGATTGGAATCTCTGAACAAGCTGCCTATTGGTTTGCAGATTACATGGCAAGTAAAACACAATGTGTGCTGATGAATTGTTCTGTCTTTCTCCAGAATGTGTCCTAAAATGTGTCGTAGCACTCATTTTAGTCACAATTTACATTTCTGATCTGTGTGCACACCTATCAGCTGCTTGAAAAAAATCCTTTAGAAATGTGAACACAGACATTATCATTGGTGCAACATGTTTAGCATTGAGATGCTATTTTGAGCTTCAATAGTTTTGCTGGTAGGCGATAGTGTTTTCCAGTGTCCAATAAAATTGTTTTTGAGGCAAAAACAAACCTAATCTAAACTTAGTCATTAACGGGAATATCATCTCAGATATTCTAGAAAAGTCTAGTGTTACAATGTGAGCCAGGCCCAGTCAAAGGTCAGACATCAAACTGAAAACCTGAAAATGTTCAACCCTTAATAAACTCACACTAAAGTTGTAAAGGGCAGCAGAATAAAAAATTTTTTCCTACATTTTAGAGAGCAGAACATCTAGATAAAAACCAAAACAAGCCGTTCAAGAAGCTTCATTTTTCTCCCATTTTGGACCAACAGCTGTGGAAACAAGTTTTTCTAATGTCTATGTTTCTGTCTGTAATATTTAGAAAGCAAGGCTCAGTATCCAGTAGTGAAGCTGAAGTAAGGAGGTGTATGTAAATTTAAATGTAAAGTAGGATTATATCAGAGGAAGACAAATCCACAGCGGTAACTGCTTGCTCAGAGTGGATTGTCTCAGAGCCCAGAACAGTGTGGGTGGAGATATTTAAGAAGCATCACTTTCATTTGGAAAGATATTACCACATATCCCCCTGCTTAATCATCCATCTATATCTTATTTGTTAGAGCCAAACACAATTTCTAACCTACAAACTTTCACTAATTATTTAACCTCTTTTTTTTCCCTAATACTGGAGGCGGTTGGCTGGCTTGTGTTTCAGTTCCTACATAATTGTTTACTCTGATCTACAATTCAATTACACCAACCTGCTCCCACAACAGCCTGCACCATGCCGCGCAAAACTTTATCGTTTCTCTCATAAAATTTATGATGGTGGATGACACATGTACAAACATGTTTGTACACGCAGGATGGTGATGTTAGTTTTACAAGACATCAAAGAAAATTACTAAAAAGTATTGCACATGAAATCTGGTGCACAAAAAAACAATATCAGTAGAAATTGACTGTGTAGTAGGACTATCTGTTCACTAAAAGCATTTCATGTTAGTTAGCCTGGATCTCCACTAAATAGTGAAAGCCAAATGTCACATGTAGCCATTTTAAAGCTAAATGTGCAGCTAAAAAGATGCACTTTTTAGCAATGAAGGAAAACAAAGAACATGTGCAGGAGCCTAAATGAGGACTTGGGTAACGGCATGCATTAAAGTTCTCAGAGGAATAGAGAAGCCTGCATTTTAAGCTGCGAAGTGACACAGATATGGCTGTGTAATGGTGCTGAGTGGAGCTTAAACTCCTTGTGGCTTCCCAGCCCTCAAACAGCCAAGAGAAAATTACACACATGTCACTCAGACTAATATATTAGGTGTTTCATGTTTCACACTCTCGTCTGTAAGTGTTGCTTAGGACAGCACATTCTCTGAGTCTTTTCAACAGAATGGGGATTTGTAACCGCAGCAATTAATATTTGAATGTGAACTGTGTCAGCACAACATTAATGCCAAAAGTTGTAGGAGGTAAACAGCAGCTCTGCTGCTCCAAGCTGGAACTGTGAGTCGTGTTTAACAAGGATATCTGTTTCTTCAAATACGTCATCTCTCAATCTGTTAGGAAATTAACTGTTTTCTCTGTTTTTTTAAAGTTAGTAGGAAGAATCCATGAGCATCTGCACCAAGTGGTAGAAGGAGCAACCTGGATGAAGAATCAGGATTCTCATTGAGGACTCGGGTCAACTGCTACTCAGAGCCATTACAAATAACTTTTCCAGCAGTTAAATCAGTTTTGAGTCAGTTTGTCTGTATTTATTTTAAGCAGCCAGATTTGTAAATCTTCTTACTGCCTTAAATTAGTTACACTCTACAGTTTATGTCAAATGCCAAACACGGACAAAACCATTTTACTGAGGGATTTGTGCTTTTCTCCAGGGTGGAATGAGAATACACTGAGCCCGAGGCTATGTCTAAACTGTTTGATTATTCATTATACACACTATCTGATGGCTAAAAGTGTCATTTTTTTCTACTCCTTGTAAACCATTGGAAATTAATTCCTTGGTATCACGTGATCTACACGTTGCAGGAAAATTACGATTCATTGATGATTGTTTAGATTGTAGGTTTTTTCAGAATCGTTGAAGCTACTTAGATATTTTGATCATTATTATCAACCCACATCTTATCAGATTATAAATGCTATGTGTGGTGTAACTGTTTCAAAACTTCGGTTTCCTGTCAAAGCAATAAACATGTCAAAACTGTTTTGTAAGTTACAACTAAAAAGTAATATTTGTCAACTTTTATAGCGAAGAATGCCTCCCAACAAGGGTCTTTGGTAGACCATATCAACATTTTCTTGTTGTATATAAATAACTTTGTTACAACCTCGTTATTGGAATGAGATTAATATAGTCAATATATAAAACTCTGAATTTAACAACAATTTTATCCATATTTATTAAGGCAGCCAAGAACATTTCATGCGTAGTTATCTATAACAGAAGGAGTGAATGGTGGAAATCAGAGAGTTGATGGTTTCATTCGATGGAAAACTTTTAACCAATTTGAATAATTAATTGAAATTGACTGAACTGATCAAAACCGAGGATCAGTTGGAACATATGTGTGACTGGATTAAATTGAATTATTTGTAAAAATGCTTTTACATGCATGTTGAGAATTGGCATTATATAAATAAACTAAACAGCATTTTAAAAATAATCATCAAATTGCTGTAAGTTGTATGTAATGAATGAGAAAACATGTCAAACACAACTTAAGATATTACAGCAGAATGGCAACAAACCTTAAGCAACATGGTGAGTAAATATAAACTTCCAGTAAAGATCTAAATTTTCCGTTTTTAAATTGATCCTGCTTTCATTATACTTGAAATAATTTTTGATTTGCAGGTAAAATACTGACTACTCCTGATTACTTTCTACAACTCTGTTTGGCAAAACATGTGAGAAAGTAGGAACAACGATACGTTAGGAAAATGAAAAATGTCAGCAAAGCAGCAGTGAGAGTCACAGTGAGCAACGGAGTGGATGTGTTCATGTCTAAAAGTAAACATACAATACCCCACGCTCAGAGTTCTCCATGTGTGAATCTCTCTATTGGAGCAAGGGCAAGGCAGGTACAGGACGGAACAGGAAGGGTGGAGCCAAAGACAGGAAACAGGAAGATAGAGAGAAACATAAAAGGGAGTGAGACTCCAGTCAGAGATGTTGTGAAAAAGACATCTATTTCATCTGCATGTTTTCATTACTTCCATTCCGTCACATTTTTATTCTGTTTCTCTTGACAGTGAGAGAAAAAAAGAAACAAAATCAAACTTCATTCAGACTCTGACAGAATGTTTTCCACTCTAATTATAATTTCCTGCAGAGCTTCAGCAGGATTTCTGAACACACGATTGTCTTGAGGTTATGGCAGTGATCTGAATACTGAAAAACCCATTTATTTGACTTCACCTCTTTGGAGAAGTTGCACATAGCATCAAATATAAACATGGCTCAGCACTGAAAACAATAAACTGATTGATATAAAGTATGACAGTGTGGACATTTAATGGATCTTCAGTTATGTGGGACATAAAAATTAGAGGATTCATCTGGGTGGCAAGTTTTAAAGTTGAATTCTTACAGGTTGATATCCCAGAGCTTCATGAACAATTTATAAAATGGGTCAAAATAAAGATAAAAACTCTGCAGCCAGGTAAAACCTCTTCAATCCCTGAGCTGTCGCGTGAAGAGAAAACGTGAACATGAAGCCAGATTGTTCAGGGAGAAATCTCATTCAACACGTTCCGTCACAGCTAGTGGAGGTCAAAACTTCTGTCTCAATTTTTAAAATATTCATTGTTAGCAGAACAAACAAATTATTGAACTACTAGAACTAGTTTGAAAAAGCTAAGTTTTATCATTTTAGACGTACTGCAAACAGCCTCCAGGATTGTTCATATTTCACACAATTAACTGAATGGCATAAACCTGTATTATTTAAAACTGCCTCAGTCGGGTATAATGTCAAAATGTGGACAGAAGAGTATTTCTGTTGTGATGGAAAGAGCAAGAAGAGAGGACGATGAATGGAAGCTGGAATGCACAAAACGATGGATGCAACAAAGCAACTATGTATCCATGTAAAAATCTTTATAAATCAGATTTTATTTCATGTTTTGATGTTTGAATTGGTTAAAATGATTAGAGGAATGAAGAGGGAGCAACTAATTACACCCACGGCATAAAAACGCCAAAACAACACCTTAGCAAAAAAATTGGTTGCAAATATATAGAATATATAAAATATGTAAATATTGCTCCTGTATCCTCATTTTATTTAGCTTGAAGTTTATATGGTTGTACTTTGTGTGCTGTGAGCACTTAAAAACCAAAGACAAAAATCTTGATTCGTTCACAGTCTGATTCTAATCAGTTGAAACCGAATGTTTTCTGCATCTGTTAGTTTTCGGCATTTCAGGAACATTTAAATACCAAAGTAGTTTTTTTCTTGGTTTTTGTTTTATGTGTTAAAATAAAATGTTGAACATTTAAACTCTTACCTGCTGCAGACATCTCATCAACTTCTCCTAGCATATATTAAATCAATTAAACATTATAAATTTCGGCTTTTGTTTCCTGCCAAACAAACTCTTGATTAAAAAAACAGTCAATCCAGCTACTGGGGAAAATAAAATGTATCTGTATTTCTAAATCAAAAACATGGTTTTGTTTCTGAACACATCATTATTTAAACTAATAATTATCAAAAATGTATTCCAGTCCACACAGTGCAAGTTATTCACGTTGTATGAAACTATATTGCAATAGCAAAGCAGCAGCACTAATTTAAAGCAGTTTGGTCATTAAATGTTGACATAAATTATGCATATTTCACTAAAAACTATTCCCTCCACTATCTGAGCATGACACGTCCAACATATGGCTGTCCACCTAAACTAGCATCCAGGAGAAGGAAATAATTAATCAAAGAAGTTGCCAAGAAGCACATGGTAACTCTGGAGGAGCTGCACAGAATCAGAGCTCAGGTGGGAGAATTGTTTGACGGAACAACTATTAATTCCTGGCAAACCAGAGATGTGAACTTAAAGGAAAAGTTGCCAGAAGAAAGGCATTGTTGACAGCAAGTCATAGGAAGTCCTATTTACAAGTTGAACACAAAGAAAATGGCTTTCTGCGCCGTGAGCAATTATTTGTGTCAACATGAAAAACAGTGTGTGCTGTGGAGAACGAGCATCCTGAATACATAACACATTTCTTGATTCGTGCTTTGATAACATTTTCCTATCTCTGATATTTGTGGTCAGAAAATAGAAATAAACTTCTGGGTTTATTGAATATGTGATAATAGATCATTAGTCAGTATTTTACCTGCTATGGAAAACAGATCAAAGTTCAAGTGTTATTAACTCTCTGAATTAAATGATAAATATGCAGGCAACAAATTCTAATTTACTAAAAGTATTTTCTCTTTCACTTTAATATGATGCACTACGTTGAATTTGTTTGCCATATAAAACCAAAATAAGATAGATGGGACTTTTTGTTATAATACAGCAAAACGTTTGAGGTATAAATACTTTGAAGGTGTTGTACGTGAACATAATTGAGTTTCTGAGTTGTGTAAATCTTTTCCAAAGTGTTTATGTACCTCCAGTCAGATTTCTGCAGGAACGTTTGCAGATTTCTGCGGCTGAAGCAGTCGAAGGCACCATTTAGCCAGACGAAACACTTGTATTGTTTACTTCCTGCTTTGTGTATTTGGCTTCACGTTTTCCTTTGAAGTTTATAATTTGGAACAGAAACTTGTGTGTTTATGTTCCAAATCAAATCAAAGTTAATTTTCTTTATAGGGTGATGAAGCATTTCAGGTATGTGGAAACTAGATACAAATACGCATACATAGATAACATTAAAATCCCCAGAAAGATGCAGATTCTCTCATTAATTTGCAGTTCCAGATTTGTCACCTTTCCTCAGTTTCTCAGCTCAGGTCTGCTGTTCAGGCATTGTACACTAAAATCCCCCTTGTTTAGGGAATAGCAGAAACATTAATTATTCATCAATTCTGCTTTCAACATTTCAATAAAAAGTGTATCTTGTGGTTGTTTGAGTCCTGAGGCTGTAGAAACACCAGATCCCCATTAAGTCTTCAGCTGTGTCCACCGATGTTGAAGTTTACATTAAATTATCAGCAGCATCCCCCTCCAGCTTTGTTCAAATCCCCTCTGAAACACATGTAACAATTTCTGAAAAGAATGATCGGACAATTGGACATGCTCCCTTCCTGAAAAGTTCTGTCGCAGAATAATTTATGGGGAGTAAAAAGTGCGTAAAGCACTTTCCATTAAAAAACAACCTTGTCTATCCCACAGGGACAACTGGCTGAAGCGTACAGGTTTAAAATATAAATGACCAGAGAAAATGGTCTCCGACATTGTAAATGTTCTTTTGTCAGAATGCATTTCCATCTTCATTTATCTCTTCTTCTTATAAATATTCTCACAAACTCGTTGTCTTATCTCTTTTTAAACCTACATAAAGTTGGAGCTTTACTTTCATGCTTCCTGTTTGCAACTTTCTTTAAAGTTTTTTTATTACCTCTGTTCCCTCCACCACTCCTGTGTTTATTCAACCAGAGTCTGACTCTAATCCCACCTCGGAGTACGGATTAATTTAAATCAGATCACCTGGACAACTTGTCAGCTGCATCCTTTTGAGTACAGCTGTGTTGGCCTTCTAATTGGCTTTTTAATGCAGGCCCTGTTATCCCGGTTAGCAATTACTAGCATGTCTACTTGAACCTAGAGTCGAGAAGAGCAGATTTGCTATCAATTTTTATATTTTTTGAGCCTTCTACATTTCTTCCTTTTCTTTCATCTTCTCCCTTCTCTGAAGTCACAACATATACTCATCTCTGTGCATCTCCTCTTTTCTCTCTGACTCCGAGTGTTTGAGATGTTCTCCATCAGCCAGAGTTTGACTCTGATGAGGTTTTCTAACTGACCCCATGTCAAGACTTCTGCTTTTCTTCCATTTGTCCTGTCACTTTATCTGAAAGTCTGGCATATAAAATGCACATTTTGTTTCACCTTTACACACTGTTTTGACTAAAAGGTTTAACTTCGGGCTGTTAATCGATTAATAAAATAACCTAATTAATAGCAAATCTGTTCAAATTAATCACACTTAATTAGTATTGATCACTTTTCAAGGAAACGTGATAAAGATAGATTGAGTCAATTACGTCGCAAATATAACAATATTGACAATAAAAGTCAAGGTTGTTGACTTTTATTGCTTATTTTGTGTTTTTAGTCTAATGCTATTTAAAAGTGGTGAAATTGATTTGCATGTAAAAAATGCACAATATAACTTTATTAAAACCATGACAAAACCATGACTTAAAAAAAACGCAGCAATTGTTATAAACTGCAACGTTTTTGCTTTGTTTTGAAAGCAGATCTAATCCTCCTCCTGAATCACATCCCTCCGGCTTCAACAATATTTACAGGTCGGCATTTTTTAGCTACCGTCTCTGTATTTGCGGTGAGTTTCCCTCGGCAGTGGCCCGCCTCTCGCTCCAAACAGCTGGAACAGTCGCAGACCCTCCTCCCTCCCTGCCACACCAGGTTGTTTCGCCTTCAGCTGATATGTAAATGACAAACTGCTTCAGTGGTAATTAAATTCACCTTTGCTAAGAACTCAAATTACTTTGGTTTTATCCAAAATACCATCTGGTCAAAGCTTAAAGCAAAATGGATCATTTAATAGCGTGTCTTTCTTTTTATCCATTGCTAGATTTACTGAGCAAACAGAAGAGACGTATGGCAACAATGAGGCAACACTTGCTAACACTTACTGCTAATTGTGCTAATGGGGGAGAAGCAACGTACTGTTTATCTGCCATCATGAGTGGCTATGCTAATTAGCCGGAGCATTTGTGACAGGCTGTGCTAGCTGCAGCGTAGCAGAGAGAAGGAGAGAGGGGTGAGCAGCGCCACACAGAGGGGTGACTGACAGCGCTGAGACCCTCCTCCAGGCTCTGATTGTTTCCAGTTAGCACTTGGAGAAAGAAGAGGAGCTTAATTTTTTCAAAGACTATTTGTCTCATACCACACTGTCACAACTTAGTGACAGTTTCAACAAAAAATAAAAAAATTCCCTTCTCACCCACCGCGGGTGGTTCTTATCCTCTGAGCTCGGGTCCTCTACCAGAGGCCTGGGAGCTTGAGGGTCCTGCAGTATCTTGGCTGTGCCAAGGACTGCACATTTCTGGACTGAGATGTCTGATGTTGTTCCTGGGATCTGTTGTAGCCACTGCTCCAGTTTGGGGGTTACTGCCCCGAGGGCCCCGATGACCACAGGCACCACTGTGGTCTTCACCTTCCAGGCCCTCTCCAGTTCTTCCCTGAGGCCCTGGTATTTCTCCAGTTTCTCGTGCTCCTTTTTCCTGATGTTGCAATCACTTGGTATTGCTACATCTACCACAACGGCTTTCCTCTGATGTTTATCCACTACGACAATGTCTGGTTGGTTCGCCATTACCATTTATATCTATATCTATATATATATATATATATATATATATATATATATATATATATATATATATATATATATATATATAGATAGAGATAGATATATGTATATATATTTAAATAACAGCTACATACTGCAGCTTAACTCATCCCACAATGTTCAAAAGAACAGAAATGCCAGAAAAAAAAAAAAAAAAAAAGAATAAACAACCTTCTTTCCTAGACTCTGAAAATGGTTTGTCGCCTTGTTTGTCAAAGTCGGGGTTAAGATGAACATCAGGTTTATAGAGCAAACTAGCAACTGTTGAAACCCCAATCCTTTTTTTTAAAAAAATGTGAAAAACATTGAGTGTCCAAGAGGGAGCAAAAAAAGGATTTACAATTTCTGTACAGACAAGTTGGTTGAAATTCCTGCTGAGACGTGTGCAAACCTCAAGACCAGACAAGAAGCATCACAACATTGTCTTCGATAATAAGGATTCTCCCACCCAATGAACTTTTTACTTATTTGCTGACAAATATCTGAAAATTTGTCGGTTAGTCTGTACATTCATACCAAGGCCATTACAAATGCTATGCCCAGTGAAGACCAATATGAAGAAAGAGACACATTTGCATCAACTTAACAATAAAATCTTACACATCAGTTAATCTCTTCATCTGTCTGTATTCATGTCTTTGGGTTCACCCAAAGTTCTGCTTGGACCCAGAATGTCTTATCGTGTGGTTTGAGACATTTGTTGAGCAAAAAAATGTAAATAAACCAGATTAAACAGAATTTAAATTCCATTTATTCTAGAAAAAAAATAGAAGATTTTGCCAATATATTGTTGAAAATGTTACATTTAACATTTGATTTGCATTTCTGTGCTGATTTTGCACCGATTTAGTTGGACATTTAAAACTATGTTCCAAGTAGTTTTAAATGTGCAGTAGTTGGCGAGTTGTGAAATGTTTAGTGTGATATCGTTCCGTCAAGTGAGAAAATCTCCAGAAACCACGACAATAATGTTAAACATCGAACAGAAATGGGTCCAAAACAAACTGCATAAACAGAATGAGGAAAAGGGGATGAAGGGATGCAGAAAAGAGAAAGAGAGAATGTAAAGGGCAGGAAGAAGGTGATGGAGATCAGCCAGTGTGCATGTTCACCAAGACTCAGCTCCGTATTTTAATCCTGTAGCAAATTGTTGAAAATTGCATCATATTGGTTTCATATAAATTTACCACTTTTATATTTATTTTTTATTTGATATTTTCATCAGAAAAGTGACTACATTTATATTTTTGCTCTGCCTGACAAGAAAACAGTTTTTAAGCTTTTAAAGTTTCAATAATCCCTTTTCATAAAAATGTATCCACAATTTTTTTTATTTTTATTTTATTTTTAAGAATAAGCACATTTACTTTTCAACATTGATAACGCTTCAATTAATAACTGGTAGTAATGAGGACACTTTCAGATTTATAATGTCTCTCCCTAACTGAACTGTAATCAACATGATTTAATCAATATTATTTAACGGCATCGAGATTGTTGGTAGACTCTGATGTCCAACAGATGTCCAAATGTTCAGTTGAAAGGTCCGGTCAAACAGTCTAAAGAAATTTACTTTTTTTACTTTTTTGTCTTGACTTCTGTAAAAAAGAAGAAATAAAAATGGAAACCTTGCATTGTTTCATCTTTCATACATACTGAGCCAATCTTACATTTTTAAGAAAGTTTCTCCAGAAAGACAATTTGACAGGACCTTTAAATCTTGCTTACTCCCAAAATGATGCATCATGATCACAAAGTGGCCCAGAGAGGCTACCAACCATCTTGTTAATTGAGAACAAAGCTAAAGAGCTTTCAAAATCTTACACAAGCAGCTTTAGGTCTCTTGCACATAGGAAGCTATGGCTACAACTGTTTCAAACATGTTTCTTATGTAAGGCCCCGTCCACTTGAAGATTATTTTAGTTTTTATCCATAAATATTTTTTGTGGTTTAGGCAGTACATCCACGCAGATTCTGCATCTTTTACACCAGAAAGTCATTTTTGACACCAGGTTCCATAGTGGATGAATTTCTGAACGTGGGTTTCGTGACACTTGATTGACCAAGTCCTACAAATTAATGACATTTAAAAATAAAGAAATAAATTGTGCCAAGGAAACCCGTCTAATCTGGCAACACTGCACTGAATTCTTAATGTGCCTGGAAAGACCTTAAATCCAACCTGGATTATTCAAGCTGTGGTCTCCTTAAAAGCAGCACTGGGTTTGGTGAGGTTATTTATCTCTTTTTATTTTTGTCTTTTACAGACAGACTCCTCCTTTCCTGAAAACCAACCACTTCCTGTGTGCACGGGCCCTGCAGCTGCTGTTCCTGGCGCTGTTTGGTTTCAGTGCATACCTGCGCTTGAAGGTCAGGATGACCCCGAGGAGGATGATGATGATCATAAGACTCCCTGCGATCATGCCAGCCATTTTCACCGTGCTGTCCACCTGCTTCTCCGGCTCCATGGCGTCCGAATCCTGGGTGGATGCACCTGAGCATCCACACACACACACGCAAACACACACACAGAACGTCATATCGATAGGCAGAATCCCACAAATACAGTCTCAAAGAAACAAACTTACTTTTTACGTACAAAAACAACAGACACAGTCCATGCTGCATTAATTTACACAAAGGATCAAGTTCATGCACAAACAATACAGCATACATTAGTCAGCTACAAGGGAAGGCAACATGATTAGTCCCAATGTGAGGAGATGACTAAACATTCCTTCAAAAAAGAGTTAAATAAGAGCAATAAAAGTTATGCAGCAGGATAAAATATGAAAGAGAGACAATATAGAGTGGAACCCTCCTAATTCAGCAAAAGCTTCCCTGTTTTCAGATTATTGTTTTATGTATTTATTTTTGTGGAGGATTTCTAAAATGTGCAGCGTGGGAAACTGAAACACGCAGGTGTTGTGCTGCTTGACATGGTATTGGCAACCAATCCATTTTCCTCTGCTTAGCTGTACATAAGGAAGACTGTAGACGTAAGCTACAACAGAGCAGCCAAGATGGTTTCTACAACGTGAATTAAGATTAATCTATCAAAATAAACAGTTGTGACCATTTTCAGATGGGAGTCAGAACTTGCAGACAGTTGTTCTTTCTAACCCTTTTATTTAAACAAGATAACTAAATAAGGTCCACTTTGTTAGTGTTGAAGTAGCAAAACAATATTCAGAATGTTATAATCAGCCGAGGCAACACAATGAACCAAGAATTTACTAAATTAAATAAAATATTTCAGAATGCAAAAAAAAAAAAAAATTCCAAAGACAGAAAGAAAACTGTAAATGCAAAACACAAGTTGGATGATCAAACAGTCCTAAATATCAATGCAGATCATTCTGGCCTCAGAAAATAGATTTTCCTGGATGGATCTACACCAATATGTATTTACAGAGATGCGCCTGAACTGAAATATGAACAGAACATCTGACAGGATTAAATGCTCTGAAAAACAACATCTAACTCAGAAAGGTCTTCCTCTGTTGGACATTTTAGGATTGTATTTTACAAAGATTTTACTGGCAGGCCAGCAAGAGACAAGGAGAAAAAAAGTTGAGAGCAACAAAGTTGAACGACTATAAATCAAGATTTTATAGGCCTCTTATTAAAAGCCTGTGATTGTGCACATGAATGCTCCCGTTCACACTGAGCAGACTCTTGTTATAACCTTGATAGACAAAGACAGGCGATTAATAGAGTAATGCTGGTGTGTTGGAGTTCAGTTAATCCCTTGTCTCTCTCTTTTTCACCCACTCTGCAATAACAACACAAGGTTGGCAGCAGTATACACCGAACTCGCAGCTTAAGCACCTAACCTTGGCACACTTGGTAATAGCTGCCGCAGTCCTCAATGGCTGATGAGATGTTCTTATGAAATCCCTGAACGCCCTCAATGACAGACCATTCACGCACGGCCTCTCCATCCTTACACGTGTTTGAAAAAAAAATACGTATATAAGACAAATTCTTCTGTCACTCTCAATCCCACGCTTCAACGCTGAAAAAGAAATGTCACTTTACTGTGAATGTTTTTTAAAAGGGATCACAGAGACATTTCAATCGCGGGTTTGATGTATTTCTCTGAAAGCGCAAATAGTGTTTAGTGCTAATTAGAACAAACAATGATTCTGCTAATTATCAGCAGGCTTGAAGAAACTGGGGAAATGTGTCTATTAACTTTAATATAGTTCAGATCTGAAGTATAAATACACCGAAAAATGTCAGAGATACTCGATTTCAGACTGAAATTTCAAGGTTTCAAGGTTGAACCTAAAATGTACAATGACCATTAAGGTGAACTTAATGTGATGTTCAATACATTTACTGCACAAAATCATTCTTGGATGATAAGATTTTAGTCTGCTACGTTTTGCCTGCTCCCTTCAGAATGAGCAGTTTTAAGGCGCTGTCGCTTTAAATCAAATAAGCTGTTGCTGGCCACACCAGATGTGCAATTATATAACTGTACATTTTTGAAAAGCACAAGTGGCGCCTCCTGCACAACCAACAAGAATAAAGCAAATAGTTGGATAATAAATTGACAACAAAACACCTGGTTTTTCCAGGGTCACCAACTTATTTACATGTGATTTTAGTTGCGTTTCTTAAACGATGAAAAAAACCACAATTCCCAAATTGTGTTTTTTCGACATTGGTGGAATATTGATAAAGCACACATTTGCAATGTAAATGTAGCGACTGTTACCAGATAAATGCACATTAAGATATTCTCAATATGCATTTTGAATCCCATGTCTATGTTCAACGCTAAATATGTTTTAGATTATGGTGGGTCATAATAAAGCAACAATTAATTCTCAGATGCTCTAAACTGCAGTTCTCTGCATTTTTGCTCTTGTACCTTCTTTAAATCCCTTCATAATTGAATAACCTGATTTGTTGCTTTGCAATTTAAATGAGTCCTAAATAAGAACATTCCACTGATTTGGCATATAAAGACAGTCAATATTACAATTCAGAACAATCTGCTTCATTACATGTGTTGCAAAAGTACATGCCTTACATTTATCTTAGCCTCCAAAAGCAAAACAACGTGGAAATCTCAAACCTAAAGTTTGCATTTTGTCTGCTTTAAACCGGCTTCAGAGAAGCAGCAGGGACACAAATGTGAATCTTTTGCTTTCCACCCATTCCCACTTCATGTTGCCCTCTCTGTAATCAGAGACCAGAAGTTCCTAGTTGTCCATCAAGCACATTATGGTTACATGAGAGCCTTGGGTGATCATGCAGGAGACGAACGCTCACATTTCCATGTCAGCCTGTGCCCCAGTAATCACCTCACAGGTGTATTAAAGCTCAATTTCCCCCCTGAGTGATCCACATTATGTATCAGCTGGCACGTTTCACTGTGACCCCCCTTTGTTCACACTTCACAGCCTCACGTGCTGATTGGGTTCAACAGTTCACAATGCAACAGCAGAGAACCCCATCTGGCAACGGGTTCAGCTCCATTTGACATTGCAATTGACCAGGTTGGGAGCTGTTCAGCCAATCAGGTGAACTCAGACGGCGCTCTGACCAGGACAGGAGAGATGGGAGCTAATACAAGCGTGTCCATTACAAAGGGGCGAGACCTGAGTTGAAGCAAAATACCACGGCTAAATGGGATTGATTCACAGCTGGTGGAGGAGCATCATGGAGGCTGGGGCAGTCTCATTTATAGCTGTATTGTTATAATGAGCTAACAGGTGGCATATGACACTTTATGGATAATTCTGCCTTTCTTACCACCAGTGGCTTTAAACGGAGTCTATAAAAGGAACCGCCATACCATTTATACACCATACAAATTTAGATTTTATATTAGGACAATCGACCTCCTGTATGCCAATGTGAGGGATGCATACAGAGCAACACCCCTACCCCCACTAGGGAAGTCAGATCACAACATCGTTCACCTACAGCCACTGTACACCCCCCTGGTCCAAAAGCAGCCTACAACAGCTCGCTCCATCAGGAGGTGGTCCCCTGAGATGGAGAGTGCTCTGAGAGACTGTTATAACACCACGGACTGGGATGCACTGTTCAGCCCGCATGGCGAGGACATAGAGGGGCTGACACACTGCCTGACGGACTATCTGAACTTCTGCGCAGATGTGGTATCCCCTGCTAAGACTGTCCGCTGTTACCCTAATAACAAGCCTTGGGTAACGCGGGAAGTCAAAACTGTCCTCAACAAGAAGAAGGTTGCCTTCAGGAGAGGAGACAGGGAGGCCATGAAGGCAGCACAGCAGGAGGTGAAGCAGTGTGTGAGGGAAGCAAAAGACAGCTACAGGAGAAAGGTGGAGCAGAAGCTGAGAGAGAACAACATGAGGGAGGTCTGGGAAGGTGTGAGGACCATCACTGGCCTCAACACAAAGACCAGAGTCGTTGAGGGAACAATGGAGAGGGCAAACCAACTGAACAACTTCTTCAACAGGTTCAACCAGTCTGTGCCCCCCCAACCCCCTCTCTCACTGCAGCCACCTCTGCTCCTTACCACACACCTCCCCACAGACAAGAAAACACTGACAACCCCCCACACACCTCAGCACAACCTCCACCCCACATCACCACAGACCAGGTCAGAGAACAGCTGAGGAAGCTCAAGCCCAGGAAAGCAGCAGGGCCGGACCAGGTGTGTCCAAGGCTGCTGAAGACCTGCGCTGCTGAACTGGGAGAGCCACTACAGCGGATCTTCAACCTCAGCCTGCAGCTAAGGGAAGTGCCCACCCTCTGGAAGATCCTCCTGCATCGTCCCAGTGCCCAAGAAGAACAGGCCCAGCGAGCTGAATGACTTTCGGCCCGTGGCACTCACTTCACACCTGATGAAGACGTTGGAGCGGCTCTTCCTCGGCCTCCTCAGACCTCAGGTGGAACATGCTCAGGACCTCCTGCAATTCGCCTACCAGGCAGATGTTGGTGTGGAGGATGCCATCCTCTACCTGCTGCACCGGGCCCACTCCCACCTGGATAAGGGCAGTGGCACAGTGAGGATCCTTTTCTTGGACTTCTCCAGTGCCTTTAATACAATCCAGCCCCTTCTGCTCCAGGACAAACTAAATAGCATGGGAGTGGACCAGCACCTGGTCACCTGGATCCATAGTTACCTCACCAACAGGCCGCAGTATGTCAGGCTAAAGGACACCGTGTCTGACACTGTGGTCAGCAGCACAGGAGCCCCTCAGGGCACAGTGCTGGCCCCTCTTCTCTTCACCCTGTACTCCTCTGACTTCCACTACAACTCGGAACTGTGTCACATACAGAAGTATGCTGATGACACAGCCATAGTCGGATGTATCAGGGACGACGGAGAGGAGGAATATCGCTGTCTGGTGAGGGACTTTGCTCTCTGGTGCCACACAAACCACCTGGAACTCAACACCTCTAAGACGAAGGAGCTGGTTATAGACTTTGGGAGGTCCAGACCAATGCCGAGACCAGTCGTACTAGAGGGAACGGAGGTTGAGGTCG